GCAAGCGTGATAGCATTGACATGGTTTGTTAATCACTTCTTTTAAAAGGGAGGAAATGGGTCCAGAATTCCTATTGGGGAAGATTTTCCTTCTGCATTGGAATTAGGTGCCACCCATTAGCAGGGGCTTTCTAATTCCATAAAGAATTAAAGTCTCAGAAACTCATATGGCCAGTTCTATAAGATCCTATAGAGCCACAATGGTTTGGCAACAACTTGATGATAGGGTTTAACTTTAATTTTTTGGTGTGAGGAGTTTTTTTGTTGTCGCCTGTTTGTTCATTGTCACAGAACAGCCCTGGTGGTGCACTGGTTAGAATACTCTGCCTGCCAATTGCAGGGTTGAACCTATCAGTGGTTCTGTCGGAGAAAAGACCTAGGGTTCTACCCACAAAGATTCTGGCCTTGGAAACCCTAAGAGAAGCCCTTTCCCAATGGGGTTCCTATGAGTTGAGTTGATATGAATGGATTGGAGGCATTGCCTCAGTTCTTACTTTGGGGGATGAACGTTTCTGAAACTCTCTGAGTCCAAATCCCTAGTTAATGCCGCATCTCTTGCTCAGGTGTGGTGGCGTCAAGGCACAGGGATGAAAGGAAAAATAAATAAAGTAGGATATCCAAGAGGAAAACCTGGAGCATCCTTGACAGTGTACTCCTGTGCCTGACTTAAATAGGCATTCCTGATTACCGCCTTTGTATCTGACTACCTCTTCTGACGTCTGAGGCCCAAAGGGAAGGTCCACGCAGCACTGAGGGACTGGATACACCAACCCCAGACTCAAACTAACCTAAGTGCTGCGGGTACGGGTGACCATTTTCTATCGCGTGGCATGACACTGGGGTATTGACGATTTCCCGGGACTGCATTAAAAAGAGAATGCTCCTCCATCTCCAGCAGGTGAAAGAAACTACGTAAGTGCTGGGTTGGAGTCCCTGCGTGATGCAAAAGGGTGACGCGCGCCACTGCTGACTGACGGGACGATGGGACGTCTGGGTCCACCCAGCGGCACCTGAGAGGAAAAGTCCGTGATCTCTCTCCGAAAGAGCAGCCACTGGAAGCCCCCTGCTACACTCTGCTCCAGTCTGACACTGCTCAAGGGCAAGTGGCTTCACAGGAAGTTATGTTAAATCATCACAAGAGACTTCATACGAGCAGAAGAGGGAGGGGTGGTAGGTATTCGGTACCCAGACAAGGGATTCTGGCTTGTCAGTAAAAAGTCGAGGACCCGCATCCTCCATGCGAAGTCCCCTCGTCTACTTCAGGACCTTCATCTCCCTGTGCGTGCTGAAGCCCGAACCTGGCTTCTCATTCAATATGTGCTTCTCAAGTCATGTGACTCGGGTTGATATTAAGTGGATATTATTGTAGTTATATACATATACCTGTATACACATATACATGCAAACATACATATGTGTGTGTATAGATGTATGTGTATATATGTGTGTGTTTATGTGTATGTATATATACACTATATATTATATACCGATATCTAGTATCCACACACATAGACAATATATACTATATATACACTATGTATATATATATATATCTATACATCCTCTGGACAGTTGATCAGTCTCTGGAAAAGGATACTATGCTTGGCAAAGGAGAGGGACCACGTAAAAGAAGAGGACACTTGATGATAAGAATTGACGGTGGGGAGGGGCTGCAGTCCTGAGCTCCGACATAAAGATTGTGAGGATGGCCAGGGCAGCATCCTTTGAGTTGGAAATGATTTCGTAGCATCTAACAAAGACAACATTTATGAGGGGGATTCAACAGTTTGTGGGAAAATGGAAATAAACCTTTATATATATGCTTGATGATCCCCACATAATTTAAGATGATAACATTAAAAGTGAAAACAATGCAAATGTCGTTAATTTTACTCCCAAACAAATGTTTTTGGGGACGGTTTTCTCTGTAATTGTTTTGTTCCAACAAGAAAGATGTTAACGGGGAGAAGAGTATTCAAAAAGTGTGTGGAGGAAATAGAATTGAATAGATACTGGAATTTTTATGAAAATTTTTTGAAGCCCCCTCGTACTTGAAATGACTTAGTTCACTCGGCCACTAGAGAATGGAGCAATTCCAGCCTTCTGGGGTGTCTCTTCGTCGTGAGCGCTTCCCCAGAGCAGGTGAGCACTTGTAAAGCTAATGAAACCCCTGATTTTTTCAGTCTTTTCTTCTCCCAGTCTCGGTCTATCTCCCCATTCAAAGCAAACTATGATAAAAATCTCTTCACTGATAGAGGCTGAACTCTCTCACATGAGGAAGGTAGATCACTGAATTTTGCACATCAGAGTCTTAGAAATAGGAATTGTTAAGAAACACCTGTTTTAACTCCATTCTCTTAAGAGTACTGACGTACTCTGGTCCAGCTTTGGAGCTTCTTGTCACTCTACGGGGAAATGGATTGCCTGTCCAGCGCTCACCATCAGACGTCTCCCATACCCTCGTTTCTCTCCTCTCATACGCGTTTCGTTTTATCTATTGATGGGGCCTCGCCCTCTGGAGGCTTCCATCCCTGCAAATTGAGAACACTGCTGTAGAGCAGCAGCACAGGAGGAGATCCACGGTCCAAAGGCCCAGTAACTTGAATAACTGAAGTGAGACTTTTGCCTCAAACACAGGAACTGAGAGCCTTTTAGGATATCCCTGGCCCATTAGAAGGGCACAGTGAAATGAAGACTTTGGAAAGAATCTAGAGACGTGCTAGCTGTCTGTAACTGCGGGGTTACAAATATATCAAAGGGTCGATTCTGGAGAGTAGCACGTTGCAGAAGAACTTCCAGATGGGTTGTTATCGGTGGCTGTTGAGTTGGTCTCTGACTCCTGGGGACCCCATGCACAATGGAATGCAGCCCTGCCTCATTTGGGCCATCCCTGTGGTAGGTTGGGGATCAGAATGCTGTGATCCAGAGGGCTTTCATTGGCTCATTTTCAGAAGTAGATCAACTGGCCTTTCTTTCTAGTCTGTCTTAGTCTGGAAGCTCCATGGCAAATGGCCCAGTGTCATAACCTGTGAGCCTCCACCAACAGATGGGTGGTGGTGGCTCCTGAGGTTCAGGCCAGGATTTCAAGTGGGTCTCCAACACTGAAGGCAGGAATCCACCACTGAACCGCCAGGGACCCTGCCTTCTGGGTGAACAGACAAATGCATATAGGAATCAGGAGGAGTGAGGATGGAGGAAAAGGAGACCCTCATGTATTTTCCCTCACACTTTTCATTTCCAACAGACCTCACATTTTTTTCCAGACCAACCCAAGCTCTGTAGACCCCCTCCCCAGAATATGTAATACAGAGAGCGCTGAAGATATAGTCCTGGGAGAATGTTGGGTCTGTCCAGACCACACGGGAGCAAACTGAAAGGGAGAGAGAGAGAGAGAGAGAGAGAATGAACCTCATTATGGCCCACCAAGCCCCGAGGATGACATCCCAGCTCGGAGCAGCCAGTGCAGAGAGAACCATAGGCCCAGCCCCACCATGAGACAGAAGACATGACGTCTCCTCACTGACCCACAATTCTATGAGGGAGAGTGCTGGAGACACAGTGCAGAAAGTGTGACGTGGCAGCCCTCTTCCTCCACCACCCTCTCCAGCTGGGCAAGCACAAAGGAAGCCCAACAGAGCAGTAAGGGGAGCAAAGTAACCAAGTCCATGAGGAATCCTGAAAATAGACTTCTGACTCAGGAGGCAGGGCTTGGCACCTCATCAGATGCGATTGGAAAACATTCATAAAGGTCAGCAGACAGACCTGGATCTATGCATAGGCTTTTGGGGGGTTTTCCCCCCTTGTTTCTTGAATGCTTCCTTCCCTTCCACTATCATGACCTCAGTTCTCACTTACAAATCCTGCTACACTGGAGTATGTACATTGGTGTAGCTAAGAGCCCTAGACAAATGGAATCCAGGACAGGTAAACCCCACAGGAACAGTACGGGAAGCTGGGGGGTGGGAACCAATCACAAGGTTGGATATATGATGTAAAATCGATCAAGGGTTCACGAGGGTGGGACGGTGGGGGAAGGAGGGTAAAAAAGAGGAGCTGATACCAAAGGCTCAAGTAGAAAGAAAATGTTCTGAAAATGATGATGGAAACATATGTACAAGTGTTCTTGATACAATTGAATTATGGATTGTTATAAGATCTGTAAGAGCCCCCAGCAAAAGGATTAATAATAATAAAAATTTTTTCCAGATATGAGCACTGGACAACACCAAAACAGATGCTTCTTTGACCACTGAAAAGTAGAGGCATTGCTTTTAATGACCACGCTGGTGCTGCATTTTTGCCTAGAAAGGTAAACAAGCAGGAAATAATCTTACCCAATAAAAAGGTAAGCCTAAGAAGGAAAGTAAAAGGGAATACTTGTCTAATAATAAAGTTATTCTTTCTAGTCTGTACTCACCTGAGGGCCTTGATTTACTCCTGGGGTCAGAGGGTTTCCAAGAACATACTTCTTAGCCCGCTCAACGCTCCTTCGAACAAACTCATCGTAGATGGATTCTTCCACAAACAGCCTGGAGGCAGCTATACAACATTGGCCTTGGTGGTAGAATAATCCCTGGTGTGCAAACTCAACAGCATTGTCCACTGCAAAAAGAGACACCAGGTCAAAGAAGAGACATTTTCTAAAGGTTGTATACTTTTATGTAGGCACCCAAGAGGCACACCAACTTTCTATGAAGGTATAGACAGAATGTAAGTTAGGTACTTGGATCAAGGCTCAATATAGCCGCCTTTTTATCAGCTAAGTGACAGATTAATCTCCCCGACCTGTTATTGCTGCAAGGAAAGTAGTAATATATAGTACAATTTGGGGAAAATGTCAACTATTATATTGTCTTTCTCAAGCATATGGATGGAAAGCTTCATAAAACAAAGTCTCATTGTCAATGTTCTTTACCAAAAACTTCATTTAAAACTAGCTATCTGACTGAATTTTTTTTTCCAATCTCGGATTTTAATTTAGATGACAAAGAAAAGCCGATAGTTCTAATGAATAAAGAATTGCTCAATACCCGTATCAACAATTCAAATATGTGTAATGAAAAATTAATCCTCAGAGTCTATTCTCAACCTTACCACTTTTCTTCTAGGAAAGAGATTTCAAAGCCTACTATCTAAAGAATGTCATATTATTTCATTTAGATCTTCAAATACTATCTATTTGGGGGATGGTGAAAAATGTTTCTTAAAAGGAAGATTTTGATTTCTTTAATAGATACAAAAGAGAGAGAAAACTATATTTGTTATATAAAATTCTCTAAATGCTGATGGCTTGATTCAATATTATACTTCGGCATTATTTAGTTGTGAACTAGTCACACCTATTTAAGTTGCAGCAGAAGTAGTTTGCCAGATTCAAGAATCTTGCCACATTTTTTGCAGACAGAATGTTTTCTATTTAAAATGAAAACCTCAGTTAAGATCATTACAGCATGAGAAGTAGTTCAAAGAATCATTTGCATTTATGGTCTCATGCAAATGTTGCGATTGGTAAAGAAAAAGATGGCTATTTGATTGGCTATTTCTGCTGCTGACGGTAATTTAGGAAATAACGTTGGGATTCTGCACGGCAGTATGCACAGAATGAACCTAGGGTGTTATCAGAGAGTACAGTCATCATAATAGATGATTTCATACGGATAGATACTCAATTATACTTGCTGTGGAGGGGAGAGAAATTATTTGGAAGGAAAGTGTAATCTTCTTCTGGTCCTTTCGTGTCATGAGTATGTGGCCTGGAGTCAAGGGCAAGGACAGATATGAACTGGTTATCTCTGCAGTTGGTCCGTGTTCCATATGTCTGAGGATGAGCCTCGATGTCAGCCTGTGAAATGCAAAGTGTGACGGTGCAGAGTGAAATATACATACATGGTAGCCCTTACTATGGGTTACATTTTGCCCCCCCAAAAGACAGGTTCACATCCTAATCCCCAGGACCTGTGAATGTGGCCTGTTGGGAAGTAGGGTCTTTGCAGGTGTTAAACGGGTAAGACGATTCATAAGAGCTGGTGTCGTGGTAAGAAGAAGGGGAGAGACGGTGAGAGGCGCGGACAGAGGGGAAGATGACCGTGCAAAGACGGTGGCAGAGACAGAGCTGTGCCCCCACAGCCAGAGACCCCTGGGGCAAGAAGAAGCTGGAAGAGGTGAGAATCTTCCGCTGTGTACTGGGAGAGGGAGAATGTCCCTGCACACCTTGATTCCAGACTTCTAGCGTCCCGAGCTGTGCAGGAATACACTTCTATTGTTCTCAGGCACCCAGTTTACAAGTCTTTGAGAAGGCATCCCTAGAAAACTATTATAGTCCCTACTGAGGAAAGTACAAACTATTCTAAAGCAGGAAGAAATGATCTGTGGGTTAGACTTGCATATAGAATATAGCTGTAGAACAATTTATGAGACTTTTTCAAGAGTAATTTTGTGCTCTGATTGAAGATGTACACTTTGATGTTCAAAGAAAGCCCTTTTGTAGAATTCAAGTTCACTGGGTGGCATTATCAGATATCACCAAAGGTGAGGGGGGAGGGGGAGAGGGGGGGGGACCAGCCCAGGGCTTCCACTTACAGTCAGCATCAGCAAACACAATGCAGGGGCTCTTTCCCCCCAACTCCAGGGTCACTCTCTTCAGATTGCTTTTCCCGGAGGCTTCTTTGATAATTTTGCCAACCTGCAAGGGAGCATTGCAAAGGAGGGGCTTAATCCGCTTTCCTGCAGGACAGGCTTACTTAGTGTTCTGAAACTTACAGGATATGTGCACCACAGTTCACTTTCCCTTGGGAGACACATTAAAAATGAAAGTTTCAAGGTTTGCTGTTTGTGCACATAAAAAAGGACAGACATAAGGTGAGTCAGACAGCCAAAAAAAAGAACAAAAACAAAAATGCTCATGCACAAGAAGTACAGCGCATGACTGAGGATCTTGATGTGCAAGGGTACAAGGGACATTATCCTTCCTTCCAATCAGAACGTCAAACCTGTCATAAATGGACCAGAATGACCCACCCACAACTTATCTCTGTAACTTTTGTACTCTTTCTCAACTCCAAAACCAAGCTCTGTTTGGTTAAAGCCATCTACTCACAGCCTCTGTGCTCCAAATCTCACCTGTGTGCTCCTCATTAAGTGCCCACTCAGACCTGGAGGCACCAGCCATTAGGACCTTGCTCACATCTTCATTTCCCTATGCCTCCTTCTCTGATGATCCCAGGCAAGGAGGACCTTTTCGTCTCCGGACTGTCTATAGGACCTGATGGAGGACTACATCACAGTGGATCTCAACGTGTCCTGTTTGTATCCACAGAGGTTTATCAACACACTGTCGCCTCTTCTGCGGCAGCGATCAAGTCCTGCCGTTACAGATCCCTCTTCATCGTGGATTCCCTGCGGTGGTCACTGTGGACCCAACCAGTGGTCACTTCCACACATCTCTCTCCTCTGCTGTGTCTTTGAACAACAGCGTTAGGAGATAGCCGTTGGGTCCATGTTCTGTATTGCTTCCTCAGTCAGCGGGAGTCCTGCTGGGCTCCGTTCTCCATTCCTGCTCCTGGCCTCTCTTCAGGGAAAGACTTGTCTCCAAATTGTTCATTTTCTTTGTGTATCACTTCCCATCACGATTATGTGCTGTAGGTGCTTCTGTTTTGTCACCTATCAAACTTTCCCATAGTTCATAATTGATCAGTCTTCATTGTTTTATTGAAGCCCAAATCAATTAAAATGATCATTCAAAAAAAGATGACCCATTTTATTTTGCTTCTATTCATTGGGTTAAAGAATATTTCATTCATGCCCCAGGGAAAGTATTAGGGATTTACAAAAACTAAGCGATATGTATTTCTGCTGCATATGCTTATGCAATAACAACCAAAATGAAGTGGGTTTCATTTTCTGTTCACATGAGGCACCTCAGCAAGGCACTTTTCAAATTAGACTTAGTTTAAGACTATAGGAATCTGTTTGCCTAGAAACTCACAAATCTGTATCGGATTTTAACACAAACGTGAAAGAGAAGTGGATGCTTACTGAGTTTATGTTTAAATTGTATGTAGGTATTGACCTACTTTTAAAAACAAACAAGGCAGCACAAAAGCACAAACACGGTGACACTGAGTTGGTTCATAGGGGCCCGAGAGGACAGAGGAGGACTGTCCAACAAGGAATCCACAGTTCTTCCACAGTGGCGATGACTTCAAGCCACTATATTTTAGGTTAGCAGCTGAGCATTTAAATACTGTGCAACCCGGGCACCGGCTACTGGGCAGTACATAGCATTACTAAGTCTGCTAATGCTTTGATCAAGATTTCATGGGAGTAGATCAAACCATTCAAAAAGTAATTTAATAAAAATAGACTAAATACACACTTGCATTGTAGAGACCTTGTCAGAATCATTTTTTCAAAACCCAGAACAGCTTTGCACACACACTTGAACATTCTCATTCCGTCCTGTGACTCCCCTCCCAGGACCCTGCACCAATCTGATCACGTGCTGCTTTAGCTCTGATTTGCCTTAGCAGCTTTACAACAAGGAGCAATGTTCACCCTTCATCTCTATTTCACACACAGAAAGAGGCATGCGCTCTGCGTTTCATTGAACATGTATGCCACTTAATTTAAAAGAAGGTCTCCTAGAATGTTCTGCTTGGTACAATGCGATTCTACTCCTGTTGTTTGCTTAGGATAGAGAATAATCTCAGTAGGGAGGAACTCATTCTCCCAAACAGAGAATTAAGTAATTCCATCCTGTTCCCCAGGTCTCTCTTGCGTTGCCCACTATGGAGGTATTGTTCTTTAAAAGTTCTGAATCATTAAACTAGAGCCTGACCTGGGATAGAGAAGCGAGGCTAGACTACTGCGAACGACCTGGAAGCAGGGTTTCTAGCTCCCTTGCAAAACGTCCATGGACGTGAGCGCTCCCATATAAGGAGTCCAGGGTGAGGCTCTGCTATTTCATTTTCATAACCTGCGCAGTAAAATTATGTTCATTCATACAAAGCACTGGCCTAATTTATTTTCCACCATAAACCGTATGGTGTGGAACTGGCAGGGAAGATAATGAACACAGCGGAGATGGTTTACTCCAGTAGCTCTGAGGTTGTGGCAGATATTTCATCTCATCCAAACGGCGTCTGCTTATGGTCTATAAACATACGTGAAGGCTAGAGTAAGAAATAAATCATTAGAGGGAACTTTTGTTTTAAGGAGGTGTTGGCTATAAAAAAAGTCGTTAGATAAAGCCTGCTGCTGACAGCCGGGGAGCCAGGCATTCACATTACTGGCCTGAGAAAATGACTTACCTCTGTGGATCCTGTGAACGCAACTTTGTCGATGTCCATGTGGGAAGAAATGGCTGCTCCTGCCGTGGGCCCATATCCGGGCACAATATTCACCACTCCGGGAGGAAACCCTGCCTAAAAGGCAAAGAGCGTTACAGCAGAACAGAGCATTTAATTCCATAAAAAGAAGAGGGGGTTGTCGGCTTAAAGCTGGGTCTTCACGCTAATTTTGTCATATATTTCCCCCCCAAAACCTATTATTGTCAAACTGATTCAGACGCATAGAAACCTTTTTGGGCTGAGGAGAAGCCACCCATGGGGTTTCCGCATCTGTAAGGCTTATTTACACCCTCAAGCTGCCACATGTTTCTCCCACCGAGCAGTGGGTGAGCTCAAACCACCCCCTTCTCTGTTTGCAACTGAGAACCCCTGTGCCTCTTACGAAGCATAATTCATCAAAGGGACATGGCTGTTTATTATCATTTTATTTCTTAGCCCCTAGAGAATAGATGCACATGTGCCATCTAAAGAGGAGGAGGAGACACAGAGACAGATGGAGGAAGAATGTCATGAGATGCCGCACTGGTACCTCGGTGGAATTACCAATTCCCATTGAGTTGATTCTGATGCATAGTGATGCCCTGTACAACTAAATAAAACCGTACTCCAATGTGTCTTTGAAGGATGACTTTTTGGAAGCAGGTTGCCAGGCCTTTCTTCTGAGGCCCCTCTGCGTGGCCTCGAACCCTCAACCTCTTGATTATCAGCACAGAAAGTTACTAGGTATACCACCAAGGAGCTCCTAGGACAGACTAGTTTAAACAATTCTGGAGAACCATCAGCGTATTCGTAGCAGCTCACAGGGATGAGCAAAAGAAAATAATAAGTGATTATCAGGTGACTTAGACACCGGCACATGGCTTCCCGGCCACCCATGAGCAGAGGCTCATTTGGGTGAACTGCCAGGAAAGCAAGCCAGTCGCCATGCCAAAAGGCATTCCTATCCCCGGACAGGAGTGCTTATCCCTGCTGAGCACATAATGTACAGTAGCACCAAATGAAATCTTTCTATTCTAAATGAGGACCCCTGAGTTACTTGTACGTGACTCGGTTTCGGATACCTACCTCTTTGATCAGCGACGCCACGTGGAGGGCCGTGAGAGGCGTCTGCTCTGCAGGTTTGACAATCACCGTGTTCCCACAGGTGAGGGCGGGCCCTATCTTCCAAATGAGCATAACCAACGGGAAGTTCCACTAGAGAGAAACAACAGAGCCTTTGTCCTGCTGCAAAACACACTTGCTAATCTGACTGCTCCAGTCTGCGCACTTGCAGATGCGGAAGAGTCATTGCAGTTTTGTGAAGTCATCCAGTATGGCCTACTTAAATGTATTGACAGCAACTTGTAGAAAGCTGTACATTTTGGGAAAAAAAACAACTTGCTAAAATGCTCTAAATAAATCCGGTATGGGAAAGAACCAGAAATGAATGAAACTTAGTCTGTGCAGGTTATTTTCAGCTTTTTCTCTGTTAAGAGAAATACAGCCATGTGGCTGGGAAGTTGGACCTTATTCTTAAATCATACTGTAGATTCTGTGTGTTTAAGAGGGGAACCACCCCTTTCTCCTAGTAGGTCATTCCTGTAATGATTTACCTAATGGAAGTATTAAATAACACTTCTTTTAAGACAAATGTGTTGTTAAAACACAAAGAAGTCACTCACGGAAGAGTCACATGAATTCACACAAGTTAATTACTTTTTGTGCAAAAAAAAAAAAACCTCAGACGGTTGCCCAAAAAGTGACCAAGGAAGTAGGCCAAGTGGCTTAACACAGTGACCAGTTCATCACAGTACAATAAAGATCAGCTATTGTTGGGATTCGAGATAATATCATTTTTAGATCATTTCAAAAAATGAATGATTCAGTACAAATGCGATGTGTATATATTTCAATATCACTGAAGCAAAAGATTTGTCACTGCCAGCTCCTGAGCTACGGACTCCGGGACGTTAGTATTTTCTAATTTGGCAGCTTTGAGTATGCCAGCCAAAGTGAAGTCATTTAGGTACCATCCTGGCTGCTGGGCTTAAAAGAAATGTCATGATTACAGATGTTAAGAAGAATTTAGAGTACTTCAGATTGCTTATCTAAGGTAGACTATGACCCATTGTTCAACTTTTCATGTAAAAACAGAATTCTTTCAGGATTTGGACAATGGCGTTGCTACATGCTCTGTGATGAGCGGCCCCAACAAGGAGATAAAATGTGTTGGGGAATAGCACTAGTAGATCCTGTTTCCTTAAAATGACATCCTGCAACACATGGACCATTGATCTACATGCCACACTCATGTAACGCATGGGACATACATAGAATATATAATAAAACTTGCTTTTCAAAAGAACCCATAAAGTGAAAGTGTAAGGTTTATTGTATGTATGGATTGTAAGGAATATATGTATTGTATTGTATGTATTTTAAGGAATGTAGAAGTGTGCTACAGTGATAAATCCTGCTACAGAGATTGTCTCTGCATTCAACAAATATATACAGATTAACTTGTGTGGAGAAAGCTTCATAACCCAATTAGATAATCTAGCATAACTTAGAATTTTGTTATTAAGATAGAAAATGATACGGTGGACTAACTTACAGGAATGATTTGACCACATACTCCAATAGGCTCATGTCTTGTATAAGTGAAAAAGTTTCCATCTGGAAAATAAAGCACAGACACAAGCATATTTAGACAAGCATAACATTTATGGCATTCATGGGATGGTGGTATGGCTTATGTGAGAGGAAGGTGTAGGCAATAGGTGAAAATAAAAACACTTCACAGTAGTAATTTAGGATGACAGAATCATGAACTTGAATTAGACCACTGTAGAAATCCTTAAAATTGGAAAAGATCTTGTGGTAACATGAGTTCCTTTATGTGGTCTTTGGCCTTTCTTCTTTGGAAAAATAGTTTGAAAGATTCCCCTTCACTCCTAACTCCTGAGAAGTTAGTTACATTTGTCCTAGCTCTTTAGCGCAGTATGTCAACTTGGTCCGGATTGTCATTTCCTGGATAAACTCCAAACAACTTGGTTTGGATCCTTTTTTGTGTGGTACTTAGCTGCAGCCTACCCAGAGATTGGTGTACACCTTTGAGAGCTTGGCCAATAGATTATGCAAATGATGTGACTCTGAAAAGTATCTGTGACCGATCAACAAGAGACCGGTCAATTTGTGGTCCCCCGTTGAGACAAAACATGCCTCAAGATTGACAACAAGAGAAATTAAACTCACTTCCACCGTCCAGTGGATGCTCACTCACAGTGACCCTCTAGGACCGAGTAGAACTGCCCCTGTGAATTTTGGAGATTTTGACTCTTTACAGGAGTTAAAGGCCCCATCTTTTCCCCACTGACTTTCAAAGCGCTGAGCTTGCAGTTAGCAGCCAGATGCCTAACCACCACGCCACCAGGGATGCTGGAAACTGAGAAACAGTTGTTTATAGAAGCAGTCAACCTCTCAGAGATGGCTGAAGCAGACAGAAGCAAGCAGGAAGAGACTCTGTGGGCAGAAGCTGACGGAAGGACAAAGAAGAAACAGAAGAGAGAAGAAAGGGCCTAAGAAGAGTCAAAGAGGTCAAGGGCGGTAACACTGAAGACACCAACTGTCCCCCAGGAGCCCAGCGACAGATGGCAGGACCCAGAGGAGCCTTGCCTCAGGGGGTTGAGAGGAGGTTTGCTTTGCTGAACAAAGAAGGGAGACTGCTTGAGTTCTAGCCTGTTGATCTTGATCCAGACTTGTACCTGGTCCCTTAATCAACTACTTCACTTTCCTTATGGTCTGTGAGTTCTGGGGGGCTGTTACCATACATTACTAAGAGCAGAAGCAAACTAGAGAATGGCACGGAACCATGGTTAGTGTCAGAATTAGTAAAACATGTTTGGAAGATAGCGGTCTGTCTGGCGCTGCGTAGGAATTGACTCCGTGCCGATTTTTATAGGTGAAGTTATTAGTACAGATCTGAAAAGGTAATGGTTATTTTTTATTGTCTAGGAGGCTTTCTATATTATACCATTCTAAAAAAGGCATGGGAAAGAGGACTAGGAGGTGTGTGGCTGAGCAGCTAAAATTTCTCCTAACAAAAGTTTGTTATTTTTTAACGTCAAGTAATAGAACATTAAAAATGGTAAATTTAGAAAATAGAATTAAAAGTGAATTAATGATAATGAAAAACCTCTCTGAAAGCAATGGGATACATCCTTTCTAGTGGTTTGTTCTCAAATATTCCTTTTGTACCTACTGAGCCAAAGAAACAACAAAGTCCCAGCTGAAAAGACACTTCTTTCGACCTGATTCATATCCCAGGAGTTTGATGTGGTAAACGTGGGAGTTACTTTGTGCTTCATCGAGTTCCCTCGGATGCCTCTGGGCTGACTGAGCCAGAACTTAAGATCTATTTGTACTTGAAATCACTTCTGCCAATTTTCTAGCGATAAACTGTTACTAAGATGATCAGTTTTCTTTGTACCACCCTGACCTCACTCTCCTCTTTGTAACTTACTAGGTATTCCTACTAGTTTTCTGGGTAATCCAATGAGTTTGGAGATATGCATCATGACCAGAGAGGAGGTTGTTGTATTTATATGGTTAATAATTTTACAGGGATTAAGCTCTACCCATACTGTTTTCCAGATTGATGTCTTTTTTCCAATTTCTATTTCAGTACACACATGGTTCCAATCAAATAATGTAGACAGGCATATTCATATACACATCTTCTTAAGTCAGCTATAAATATAATCCCATTTTGTTTGGGGATTTTTAAAAAAACAAATCAGTGTAAATTAGTTTATTGAATTAGCCTAGTCTAATTCCATGAGTTATGCTGCATTAGACCTGGGGACAAATAACCATAATTGACTCACAATGGAACAAGAGGCTTAATATTTATATTACAGATGGGTATAAATGTGACTATTGGACTAAAACTCAAATATATAGTTTCAGAGGTCAGTTTTGTAAACTTTGGGTTCTTAAATCAGCAGTGATTATCTTCTATGTGATTATGCTGAAACATCTTCAAAGACATTTGATGAAGCTCAACAGAAATTTCAAGTTCAAACAGAACTTTCTCAAATCAAAAAAGAAGATAAATTTGCCTATTTGGTTGACATTTTCTTAAAGGAGAGTTTGAAATTAGGCAGGCCTATGGTCATTACTCTCCCTTCCCTCAGCACTTTTCCAAAGCAACTTACCAATGGGAATGGTTTGGCCCTGGATCTTGTCAGCCCAGCCCGCACAATAGCGTAATGTTTTTATGCATCCTCCTAAATCCATCAGATATGAATTGGCAAATAGCTTTCCACCATTCATTGACTCAAGTGTCTGCAAAAGAGAACAAACTTCACATCTAAACATTCATAAAAGCCCTAGATGAAAGAATATAGGTGAATATCTACTCCCCCAACCCAAAACTCATTGCCAATGAGTCAATTCCAATTCATAGACACCCCATAGCATAGAGGAAAACGGCTTCATAGGGTTTCCAGGGCTGCACCCTTTGTGGTGGCAGACTTCCAGGGAGCGACTGGGAGTCCCAGCTCCCCAGCTTTGAGTGAGTCGCAGAGAGTTTCAATGACTGGGCCACGAGGGCTTCTTTTGCATATCTGTCCAACGTTTTGAAAGTGTTATAGAATTTTGGGAAGAGCCCAGGTGGCACACTGGTTAAAACATCTGGTTGTTAATTGAGAAATCCACAGTTCCAACCCAGTACCTGGTTTGTCGTAGAAAGATATTGTGGTCTGCTTCCCAGAAAAAAAATTATAGAGATCTATCTATACACACACACATATAATTGATCAGTACATAGATATTGATCTATATCAAACCTATTGCTTTCAAGTTGATTCCAACTCGTCTAAGACAGAGTAGACCGGTCCCATAAAGTTTTCAAAGTTGTAAATCTTTATGGAAGCACACTGCCACTTCTTTCTCTTACAGAGCTGTTGAAGGGCTTGAACTGGAAGGTGTGAACTGTGAACATGTAGTTAGGAGCCAAGAATTTTAACCATGCTGCCACCAAGGCTTCTCCCTAAATATTTCAGCCCTGGAAACCGTACAGAGCCCTTCTATTCTGTCAGGTAGCGTTGATAAGAGTCAGAAGAGATTCAATGGCAATGACTTTGGAGTTTCTGTATTACAGAATTTGGGATACGAAATAAATCCTATAAGTCATCATATCTGAGCTCCATTTAAAAAGAGGCAAATAATAATAATCTTAAAGTAGTCAAACAACTTGCATAAGGTTTTAAAGCAAGACTCAGGGAGAAAGAGTGGTTAGTTTCTGGCTTCTAAACCACAGTCCCCCTCCCTCACACCATGAATGCGCTTCAGAAAACCTTTTTTCTAAGAACTGGTCAAGAACAGCACCTAAAATCCTTAGATTGAAGTTCCAACAGGCTTTCCCTTAGATACAACGAAGGGTGACTGTTTAGTGTCAGTGACTATTAATGACACGTCAATAATTATTTCTAGTTTTTTCACTCCATCTGTGTGTAAACAACCTAGCCACACAAACTTACTTTAACGCTTAGATCTTTCATCCAAAAGTGCTCAGTCTCAAATAAGAGTCATAGTGCTTAGATAATACATTAGAAACTAAGATGGATGAATTGAAAGCTTTCAAATTTGGTTGTACTTAGTATGCAAATTATGACACATGGAACTTTCTTCAACAAAAATGGACTTTTTTCCTTTCTTTTAATCTTGAAACTTTCGCTTTTGCTACTGTTATCGTAATTACATTTGATGGTCAGGCTGTAAAGTTCAGCATTTTTTCTGGTATCCTAACATTAAAGAAGCTACTCGGTTCCTTCTCTTCCTAAGCTCTTTGCAACCTATTGTTCTGCCAGCGTGGTTGCCAGCAGGAATGCGCAGCTGATGGAATGTTCTGTTACATACCATCTTCTGCCTCTCTATTATATATACTGCCTGCCACCTTGAACTTGAAATCAAACTTGATTTCTGTATGTCTGCAATTGTTCATCTTAGAAATGTGTGCTGACAAATATAGTCCCTGTTCCATAATCCACAGCTTAGACAAAATGAGAGAAGCCAAAGCCCACATGTTCGCTAATATAATTTATTGCACATGGCTTCTCGGTCTATATTTTTGCATACTTTGAATCATGCTGAATCTTTGAGTAATGAATCACACTTTAATGACATCCACCACTCTTGATGAAAAAAAATCATATGCCTGTTCTTTACAGCCTGTTTAAGATTCTAAAGACAATCTCAACATTTATGCTGAAATCTTGGTATTGACTTATAGTGAACTAATTTCATGACAGTACTCATCTGAAAAAAAGAAAATAAGGAAGTACACAACTCCTATATTAAATGCTAATGCATCTAACTAGTAAAATACATGTGTTTAAATAGATAGATAGATAGATAGATAGATAGAAACATTAAGCATATAATAATTGGATTTTTTCTTTATTTTTAAATATTTTGTCTTATTCTATCTTAATGTAATCAAATAGGCACACATTTCTGGTAGGAAAAAAATGGACATTATGTGTCTTAATGGACTAGAAAAACATTTGGGGGATCTTTAACAAACCCCATGAAATCCCTGACTCAATGAGGTCAGAAATCAAACAAGTTTAGAAACCCAGCCTGAGAGTTTCATACTGCATGTGGCCTTGTTAAGGCTCCGAGAAGTTCTGTAGTCACGGAAAGAAATATGTTAGATGTGGCTATAAACTTCAAGTGTTTGAAAAATTTGGACTAAAGAATCTATTATAGGGGGGAGAGGGGAAATCACACTGTTCAGAAATAGAGTGCACGTGATGATCTGAAAATAACTATAATGCTAACATTTCTACACAAAGTGTAACACACTCTATTCCTCACCCCCCACTACCATGACCCCAGTGCTGCTTCCCAGTTCAGACTAGACTGGAACAGGTACACAGGTATAGAAAGGGGTGGGAGCTCACGACACACAGAATCCAGGAGTGGGAATAGTGATACCGGAAGGGCAGGGGGAAGATGGGGAGAGGAAGGGAGAAAGGGGGAATCGATCACAGTGATCGACACCTAACCGTGCGCCCCTCTACAGGAGGAAGAACAACAGAAAACATGGGGGACGGGAGACAGCGGTTGGTGTGAGAGCTGAAAATCATAACAATGTACAATCTATCAGGGGGTTATGAGGGTGGGGGTGGAGAACACAAAAAGAGCTAGTACTAAGGGTTCAGTAGAAAGTAAATGTCTAGAAGAGAATGAGGGCAACATATGTACAAACGTGCCTGATTCAATAGATGAATGGATAGTGATAAGAGTTGTAATGAGTTTAAGAAAATGTAGTTGAAATCTTTTGTTTCATTTGTATGCACTGAAACCTAACAACTTCCCAATTCCAAGAAGGAATGTTCTCTCGAGCTCTCATTTCCTGCTCAATCTGACTAATACTCACAGCCAGCAGAAGGCGATCCCTTTCAATTAGGTCAGCCAACTTGCAGAGTAGTTGGCCCCTTTCTGAAGCATCCATAGTACGCCATGGAGAGCCGATCTGGAAGGCTTGTCTTGCAGCCTTCACCGCTTTGTCAATATCTTCCTGCAAGAAAAAAATACTACTTCAGCTCTGTGGTTTAACATATTCGAAAATCCAGTGGCAATGACCCTATAGGAGAGGCTGAAGCTTCCTATAAGTGGGCACTGCCTTTTCAATTAGCCCAGAGTCTAACACATTTATATGCTCCCTGCTGCCATCAAGTCAGTTTCCACCTACAGCAACCCTATCTAAGGTTTCCAAGGCGACATAGGGTTTCCAAGACTATGCAAGGTTTCCCATTTATGGAATCAGGTCATCTCCTCTTTGTCCCTTTGAGCAGCTGATGGATTTGAACTTCTATATTGTATGCTACAATGACAACTAAATGTTGACATAAAGCCCAATTCCTTGTCTCTGGAATGACGAGCTTAATGAAAGCACCACATGGTTGGTCTTCTAGAATAGAACTATGAGGCTCACTATGTTTATTAACTATTATCATTAGAAGAAGGAGACCTGATGGTACTCTAGATCAGGCTCCTAAGTGCAAAGTTGGCAATTCAAACTCACCACCTACTCCATGGCAGAAAGATGAAGCTGTTTGCTCCCAGACAGATGTACAGTCTCAGCAACCCTATACAGGGCTACTGTGAGTTGGAATCAACTCTATGGTGATAGGGCAGTAGATCATTGAAATGTCCACTATATGTCCAGTAATGCTCTCAAATACACATTAACTCATCAATTCTTAGTAATTTTAGGAGAGGAATGTATTCCCCACTTTACTGATGATGAAACCGAAGCAACGTGAGAGAGGAAAATGGCTCATGGTCAATAGAGAAAAATGGTAGAAGAGTCCCTTCTCTTTACCATTTCCATATACTTTTTGGTGTCGCTATTAGTAAGAACTCCGGACTTTGGGCCCCACGGACCTATAAAAATATCTTGTTTACAATTTGCTACTCTTTGTCCGGCTCAACTTCCTCTCACCTACACTCTCATAATTCTCCTTCCTTAGAATCCTTCCCCTTGCTACTTTCAAAATCCTTCACATTGTTTAGGACCCACTTGAAATAGCACAACTGAACTGAATTTTTGCCATACCCATCTTGCATAATAATATCCATAGCTGCTAGTTAAGTGTCCATTGAACTGCAGACACTAGACTCTTTTACAAATATTAGCCTATCAATTCCCACCATTCACCCTTGTTTTTTTCATTATCATTCAACTGGTCTCACATTGAATAAATGATAGCTTATTGCTATTAAATGTCTGAGCCAGCAAATGGTAGTCAGAATTCGATCCCACATCTGACTCCAAAATTTGGCTCTTCTAGTTGTGCAAATTTGCTTCCTAATAGTGAGTATTCAGGGCTAGCTGGATAATAAAGTATAATATTTCTTACTGTTCTGGGCACACAAAAGGCACATAACAAATATTTAGTAATTTGTTACTTATATTATAAACATATTGATTTTATAAGAAGTTATAATCCTAGTGACATGTCAGTCATATGAACGCTTAGGTAGTAAATCTCATTTTAATAAATTACAATATATAACTGAGGGATTTTAAATTCATCAAAACTATTAGATGTAAGGGTGTGTGTTTTTTATTGCAGAGCTAGCATTTCATGGGTTTTTATTTCCAGGGAGAGCAATTTTTGAATTCAGCAGAAAAAAAATTGCTATAATAACTCAGATTTTCCATGATCAATAAAAAGTTTGTCCTAGAATCTTTAAAACTTCGTTTTTAAGTAAGGTATCGCAAACTTGAATGCATGAAGCCAATGGAAATGAGGATGAAACATCACATGCCTTTTAGGGCTGGTTAAGAAAGGCCCCGACTCGTCAATGACACCAAGATTATACCTTTCCATGCTAAATTCATTCAGAAACGGAGAGAGTAGTGATCAGAGCAGCTTTACTTTTACACCTGCCATCGGCACTTACTTGAATGGACATTTGCTTTGATCCTCCACCATCATTTGCTAGGTCATGCGTTAGTATGAAAAGCGGTTGTCAGGATTAGTCAGAAGAGCCTAAAAGAACCAGTGGAGTGAAAAGAAAACAGTTCCCACCCACATCTGTGCTTTGCTTTGTTACCGCCTTGTGTTCTTGCCCCGCCTCCTCCTTTATCACACCACTGAAAGGCAGTAGATGGCCCATTGTTAGCATAACTCTGCTCATAAATGAAAGTCCTAAGCCCTCTTGGCTCATTATCTAAAAGACTTAGTTCCAGAATATTAGGTTTACTCTGACTCTGTCATTTACTAGCTTTGCACCTTCCACGAAGCGATGTTGCTGGAGGTCACTGTACAAAATGGTGAGAGTGGTAATCATTATCTTTAAAAAAAAGTGAGTAGCTTGTGCCAAAAGGAATAGTCTGACAAGAGTCTTGATAGTGAAAGCAAAGTGTTGCTTTCCACGGGCAGTTTATGTCAGGAAGAATTTAACCCGAGGGACGCGAAGTATCTGCCAATTAGAGTAGCCATATGATGAGGTTTTTAAGCACTTTTGTAGATTAAGTGTCCTTAATCTACCTGTGTGCAGACGGCCCTGCTCTAAAAAGAGCAGGAGTACTTATCAATGAGTACAGAGCAAATAAAGGAACAACATTCAGAAGGCTTAGAGTACGATCATCAGCTTCCCCTTAGTGTATCTGAGAAACCAGATAAATCCCTCCAACTGCACCAAGAGTGTCCTCAGACGGCCTTACATGATGCCATCGGGAACCCAGCGCATGTTCTTCCTCCTTGGCCTTCCGGAGCTCCACCATGACTTCCATCCACTGTTGTCGCCTCCCAGGCCCCTTCAGAAGGGGTGGGGTGGGGGAGGGCCTGTTGGGTGAGGTGGGATCTTTCCGAGAAGCAAGGTTCGCCCCAGCAAGAAGGCACTGAGTGTCCTGGTCTGCTTGGCCCTGCATATCGCCCGGAGGCTCCCAGATAAGAATGGAATGTCCCCTGGGCACCCAGGCCAGGAATTTGGAGAGGACCAGGTGTTCCTGGGAGCTCTCACACCCCATACTCACCTGTGCAGGAGTCCTTTTTATGTTTTTCCTTCTCCACATTTTTGTTTTTACAAAGCACAAAATAATACACTTTCCAAGGCTTAACAGAAACGCTCTGAGTCCCAGGCAGAGGCCCTGCCCCAGCCAGGACTGGGACTCGGCAGTTGGGGGCAGTATATGGTGTTGTATATGATGTAGGCAGAATATGGTGTAGGGACTCAAGGTCCAAAGGAGGTGCTCCACCCCAAGCTCCATGCTCTTGGTGATAGTCAGGGCCCTCTGATATCTCTGCTTGATGATTCTATCTCTTTGAGATCTCAAAAGAGACTGATTCAATATAGAATCTAATCCTGTAGAATTTATTCTGCCTCATTCACAGAACTGCTTTGACTCCTACCTCATTAATGTCATGAAGATCAGGATTTATCATGGTAGTCACACATGAAGATAATAATATCAAATCGCAAAATGGAGGATACTCATATCAGATCACAAAATAGAGAGCGATTACATATTGATGACCATCATGATCTGGCTAAATGAACACATATTTTGGGGGAAGCATATTTCAAGCCATGACAGTGACAACTAAATGTTTCCTTCTTTGGGGGAAGAGCTTAAAGGACACGGTTTCTTGAGATTTTTACACCATCTTTCCAGAAATGAGCACTATTTTCCTGCGCAAGTTTTCAAGTAAAATATTTTATAGAGGTGCAGACTCATTACCACAACCTAGCTTCCAATCATCAACATTCTTGCTTGCTGAAGTCCATAAGCTGTATTAAATGCTAACACTTCAGAAGAGATTAAATTTATGGATTGAAATCTTAGATCTATGATTCTCAAAATACCATCTCCTCCCAACCAGAAATATCTGCATAACTTGTTGAACGTGAGATTTTTTAGAATGTTACAGATCAGAACAATGATATCTGGGAAGATTAGAGATAACTTTCAAAAATGAAAGACTTGGTCATGATTAAAATTTTAGAAGGGAGCATAAAAATTAATGGAGATATTTACCTTTTCATTCCATTTTTGCACAATGTTTTAAAAGCCCCTATATATTAATGTGCCCAGCATTGTTAAAAACTTTTTCATGGTTTCTTATTTAATCCTCGATGTTTTCTATCTCTTAATTTTACACAAAAAAGGAACAGATGGCCTATCCTCATTTTTGAGGACTGACTGCACTGTGGACAACATTTGGGAGACAACACGGGAGGTGACACCCTTGGAGCTCTGCTTGGTGGGATGCACGCGGAAAGAGTGTTAACTAACATCACAAAGAACCTTTCCTGGGAATAGTGAGAAATCCTCAAAGAATTTATGCACTGATAAATCCTTTGAAATGTTGTATTCTGATCAAAATGGAAATCTGTTAGCAAGTGTCATGTGATGCCACCCTATCCTGCTTATATTTAACAGCTGACTCCCATTTGTAAGCCCCTCCTGTTATTCAATGAATTTGATGAGATAACTTGAGCAGTAGGGTGTTTTAAAAATCATATATTAAGGTTTACTCTTCACTGAGCAACTTGAAAGTCAGTTTTATGTGAATAGCTCTGAGTGTTTGCTATGTCCATTGAAAAAGAAGCAGGACCAATTAGTATATAGAGACTAAAACAGAGCACCCTCAAGGAAAGACCCATCATCGTGAAATGGTTACTTAATGCATTCCATGTTCCCAGAACAACATAGAGAACTCCCTTGAAGCCTCAGGAGTCATGTTTTAATGACAAGTCTATGTCAACTAGCTGTGGAATGTGGGGTCTCAGAATGGAGAGAGAGACAAAGAACCCCTGCATGGAACTGGTGCTAGGAAACTCACCTTATCCCCTGCTTCTACCTCGCAGAGCTTCTCCTCGTTTGCCGGATTGAAGACGGGGAATTTCTTGCCACTCACGGAATGATGCCATTCGTTGTTTATGAAGATCTGTAAGATGAAAACATAAACAGAAATGAATTTAAGTGTACAGGCTGTCTTTAAAATGGTTGACAGAGCTCACTCACGGCCATCTAGTCAAGACCGACTCAGATCCACTCTAGGGGCCATGGTAGAACTGCCTCTGAGGGTTCCTGAGATTGAAACTCTTTAAAGAGTAAAGAGCTTTATCTCCCTCCCACATGGCATAACGTCCGTCAAACCAAAGGGGTTCCTGGTTGGTGAAAATGGTCAATGTCTCTCTGAGTTGCTAACTGAAAGGTTGGGAGTTTGAATCTACCTGGAAGCAACTGGAAGAAAGTCCTGGTGATCTTCTCCTGAAAACATCAGACACTGAAACGGAAAACCCCACAGAGCACAGTCCTATGTCCACAGAGCACAGTCCTAGCCCCACAGAGCACACCCTGTTCTGAAACACATATGGACGCCGTGAGTAGGAATATACCCAACACAACTCATTTCTTCTGAAAACTAGAGCATACAAATGCTCCTCTTTACTACCCTCCCACTCCCAACTATGATTGTTTTTGAACTGGTTAAGACACACACACACACACACACACACACACACACACACACACTGCTTAAATTATGAGGCTATTCCGGTTCTTGAAAATACAGACCGAAGGAAATAATCTAGGAAAAGATGCTTTCATCTGATGGGGGCCGGGGTCGGGTTGGGGAAAGGCCATACATTTGAGGCTCGAGCAGAAGCGTTGACAGCGTTGATGCTTATATACCCATTTTCTCCGTTTTCCACTCTAAATTCTGAGCAGGCTCCTTCAGCGTTACTGAACTGGTCTCATAAATGATTCTTTTGCAGGCCTTGATTTCAGTTTGATGGTGGTTTCGAGGACATTTAAATGGAAGCTTACTTCGAAGGAAAGTGGTCATTACATTTCTTTTGATTGCC